GACTACTGAGTCGCGGTGGGCACAAATACGCATGAATTGGTGACGTCACGCATGAGGTGCGCACGATTCGCTGACGTTTCTCGCTGCCACGTTTTCGTAGAGCGAATTTCAATGATGGAGTTGAAAATTTTGTAATCTTCTGTTTACGTTCATCAGGAGTAGATGCATCTATTTGAAAATGTTCTGATTCAGAGCACTTATAAAATATTCGAGAGACAAGTTTGCTTATCAATTAGAAGAGTTTCATATAGATAGGAATGCTCCAATTATTATTTGGTGAGCTTTAATGTAGATGTAAAGGAATTAGAAAGTCATCGGTTTTCATGAAGAAGCATTTTGATTTAGAACATGGTTACCAGAAATAAATTATCCTAGTACTCTAAGAATTCATATATTGATTCAACTTTTACAAGAAACATTAGTCTTGAATTATTAAATTGTATGTTACTTTCCTCATCAGGCGATCCTACACAGAATTGTAACATATCCGCATTGAAGAATTCAAACTAATGTATTGACATTCCCAGCAGCCTCTTTATTTAGAAACCAAAAGAAACAATTTCATTTAACCTTAGTTTCATCTTCATTTCATAATTTTTCCATACATTAGTATTTCAGAGAAACAAAGAAAGTGAGGGGTAACCTCGAGAAACAAAAAAGAGAATCAAAATATACGAGGCTCAGAGTATCATGAAGGTAACTGAGAAACAAAAAGTATCAACTAATAAAAAAAAGAGACCTGAAACTAGAAACAAGAGAATGGCGAGTAACTGCGAAACAAAGTTTCATGATAACTTCGAGAAATTAAAGAGTATCGCGATTAAATTCAGGGCTCTAAAGAGTGCTCTGATCTGAGAATCAGAACTAGGGAAAACAAAAGAGTATCACTGGTAACAAAGAGATTCGAGAAGCTTGGAGAAACAAGAATATTAGAGATGAGAGACACCGAAGCTTCAAATAAAGATAATCGATAACTTCGAAGTAAAATTATCGCAGTAAACAAGAGAAACGGAGAAACTTCGAGACAAGAGTCACATGAGTAACAAAGAGACACCGAGGAGGCTAGAAACAAAGAGAATCACGAGTTACTTCGAAACAAAGTATCACGAGTAACTGAGAAACAAAATTATCATAAGTAACAGGGAATCGAGGCTTCGGCTCAAAGAAGAATGGCAAGTCACTGAATAACAAGTATCGATTAAATTCGAAACAATAGAGTATCGAGAGTAGCAAAGAGAATCGTGAAGCTTCGAGAAACAAAAGAATATTGCGAGGAACAAAGAGAAACCGAAACTGAGAAACAAAGAAGATAGCGAGTAACAAGAAGGAGAAACTTCGAAACAAAAGTCACGCGAATAAAGTAGACCCTACGCCTTTAACATCAGTGGCTGTTTGAACCAGCCTCTTGCCATTTTTGTATTAGTCTAAACCTTAAATGCCCAGTGTTGCTTTTAAACAACATACCCAATTTTGTCTTCTAAAATCTGCAGGGAATAAGACCCAGAAGATCTGATTACCTCTTGTTGCCAATAGCATGCGTACTGAAATTTTTATTAAATCTATTTACGACATATAGATGGCCGCCTGAGTGCTGATAAAATAAAAATTAAATTTTTTTTACTTGAGGCTGTATCTTTTTTAGCTTCGTTTGTTCAGCAGAGATACCATATTTTAATCTTCAAAGTTGAAGGAAATTTTGCCATCCATTACTTATTATTTATTAAAATTCATGTGTGCATGTCAGTATAAATTTTATCGAAAATGTTTTTCTTAAACAAAGCCCGGTATTATCAGTTGGTAACAAACAGTTTTGCACTATAAACCATACTTAAAATTGATAAGATTTTTTATTTTTTTCCCGTGCTTTATTGAAGGAATGAGGTCAAAACCACATTTTATAATTAACTTTAAAGAAAATCGAACTTAATAACTAAGACCTTAAAACGAAAGTTAAGAATAATGATCCTGAAAAACCGTTGGTATTCAGTCGCAATTCCACCACTTACACCATTCATTTTGAAAATATGTAAAAAAACACCTTGATAATATTATTTAGGTTTGTTAGCAAATCTTTATAAGTTTCTCAAGAATTACAAATTAGATTGTAATTAAAGTGGCCTTTCCTAAACACGGTAGGAGAGCAACTTGTCTTAAAAACTCTATTTCTGTGATAAGCCTTTTGGAACATGACTAATAGAATGTCGTAAAGAATGCAATAATCTTTAGAGAGCATTTTGTCAAGTGATTACTTTTCATAAAGTGCTTTGACTACACGACTTCAGTATTTACAATTAATTATTAGAAGACAAATTGCCTGGTCTAATTTAAAAAAGCTATAGGAAAAGGAATTCGACAGTTGTTCTACCTTTCTATAAGACGCAATGGAAAATGAACATTGGAAAACTTCAAACGACCAATGAAAAGCATTGAATAGACTTTGTAATTCATAGAGACTGTAAAATTAATTTTCACAGATAGTAAGCACTTCAGACGAAGATTAAAAAGATTTTATTTAGTAAAAACCTACAGCCTACATTCCATAAATCATTGTATAAGAAATGTATAATAAAATCTCAAATAATAGACATAATAAGTTATGATTTTCTTACTTTTATGATAAATGTTATATTGTAATCTAACAAAACCAATATAGGTAATCTAATCACCTTCAGCACGAATTCAACGGATTAAAATTTGCTTGCTTTGAACATTACATCTCCCGGAATTTTTTGACTATAATATCTCTCCATACCATTAACTCAAAGCAGGCATTCCAAATTGGGATGCATGAAGAAAATTGTTCAGAAATCTTTGCACATAAGATAAGGTCGGCCATGACACGAAGGAAAGTATTCGAGGGAGGAAAGCGACGCGCATTCAGATATAAATTAAAATCGCATTTGCACAAACCTCGTTTTCATTTTACTTCTAACTTCATGTATTCGTGTTTTTCTGAAGCGTAAGGAGAGTTATTCCAGAACAGCTCTGTCAAGTGTTCTTCACGGCGTACATCAGCATGATTTCGCAGAATAATGAAAAGGATATTTTGGAAGTGGAAATGGCATCATGCAGAAAACAGGCAGCTTAAGACTATTTCAAGTGTTCGTTGACTGTAGAGATTTGCCTCGTTTGTAATAGGTTTGAAAGTTTGTATAGCTGAATTTAGTTTAGTAAATCAACCGAGGTACTATTTGAGATCAATTGAAATTGAATTAAGAATGATTTCTAGCATTAAATTCCGAGTAAGGATCAATTATAGAGAATATATTGGACTGCATTCCAACAGGGATAATGTTGTATGATGAGCGTTCTTTACAAAACAACCCACATTGACCCGTTTCCACAACGAATAGACATTTACCTGATTATGTACAACATCAGACACATTTAGGAAATCATTGTCGAATTCATAGCTAACATTTTTAACGTTCATAAAAGATAAATAGAGCGTTGCCATTCTGTTTATTACCTTTTGCGCCAAGATGGTGCGCCAAACGTTTTTTAATTAATTTCTTTTATGGCCAAACTTTTTTTTTATGTAATTAATTTCTTTTAAAAAATTTTAATAATAATCTTGGAATAATAATTTTGCACAAATATATATTTATTAGTTTTGCTCTCCAGATTCTTTTGCTAATAATTGTATTTCCTTTTAACTTCAAATCAATTTAAAGCATAAATTTTTTATTCAATTCCTATAGAAATTGTTGTTTGAAACACCAAGATTAAGATAATTTTGAAGTAAATTTAATTCGATGAAACACTCTTTGTTGTAAGTATTTTTTAGGTAAATTTTTCGAAACATCAGCAGAGAAATCATTTTAATAAACTCTTTTTATACATATATATTAAAGATTTCATTTATGTACATTTATTCATCCCTTAGCTACTCATGCATGTGAAACACTACATTTTGAAACACAACCTTTTTGATCCGAAGAATCCTCTTAAAATACTTTTACATGGAAATGAACTTGGCTCACTGCTGGGAAAATCTGAATTTTCACTTCTTGATGTTAGGTAAGTTAACTAACTGAACATGGCCTTTTGATTTTCAGCAAATTTAAAATGAAATTAGGGTACAAACATGTAAGGCTCGTCAGACTCGGCTAACAACTGAAAACTAGGCAGCACAGTGCATTTAGCAAATCAGCTGTGGCAGGCTGCAGTGCAGATTCAGTTTTCAACTATCACTGCTTGATGTTTTTATTGAACCAATTGCAACTGATCTGTTGACTAGTAAGACACCAGACCTCAAAAATGGATATTTTGGATAAGGAAGCAGGTATTTTGTTTTTAATAAACAACCAATTAAAGAACAAGAAATATAAAAAAAAATTAAGTCAATTCCTACTTAGGTCAACAAAGAAATATTTTATTTTAGAAATTTTTTCTCCCATATAAAACTAAAATTAATTAATTAAATTTAATTAATGAATTAATATTTGAAAAAACTGTATTAACATCAAGTGTCATCCACTACACGTTTTAAAAAATGTATTTGAACTTGAGTGGATGAATAAAAATTATTTTATTAACAATTGAAAATTTGAACAAGATATATAAATATATATAGGGAGAGTGTGAACTAATAGTAGGAATTGAAAAGAGGAGCCAGGAGATAACAGTTTAATCTAATGATACAACAGATCCAGAAATAAAAATGATCTTGTATATACTAAAGTTCACACATAGAGAGAAAGAAATCTTACTAATTGTTTATGGGTTTCATAAAATAAATTCCTAAATGAAAAAATATATAATTAACAGGGGGGGGGGGG